TGGTGACAGTGGCGGCAGCTGCGCGTTCAGACGATGTCCTGAATTCCTTCACGTTTCGTGTGTTTAGGGCTACTGTGCATTTTATGTTGTTCTTATGGGCCGTCAAGTCGTTTCCGACGGATGGGCGACCCTATGAATAAGCGGTCTTCAAAGTATCCCGTCATTTTATAAGAGGGAATGAATGAATGCCCTTGAGTAGAGCGGCACCTGCTTCGAGGCGAGCGTGTTTCGGCCGACACATCACAAGCGGAGAGACGATATGCAGTAAAGGGACTCAGGGTCTTAGTTTTCCTAGTGTCTCTTTTGCAAAATTGACTCGCAGTCGCCCAAAATAGGCGATCCGGTTATTCCCAGATAAAACGCTGTACCCTCTCCCATTGACTAGACCCAGCTGTATTTTTCTCTTCCCCGCTCAGTAATGTTCAGCCTGATGAAGAGTTTGCCTACTTTTGAATTTGTAGTGATCCAATAAAAGTTCCTCTCCCGGTTTTTGACTGAAATTATTGCCAGTCATAATGGGCACACCTCATTGCTTTCAGTGGATCTGCTCTAAACAAAGTCAGCGTTTTATTTGTCTTCTGCCGTTCTGACAATTTTAAGGTGGCTAACAGCTGAATTGAGTCCAGGTCATCTCCAAAAAAAAAAAAAAAACAAAAAAAACACACAATCTTTTAAGAACAGGGTATCAGATGGATCTTCCTTCATGGATTGCTCCCTTGTCGTGGCGAAGGGGCTTGAGTAACTCAGAGGAGCTATGGGCTATGCCGTGCAGGGACACCCAAGACGGACAGGACATTGTGGAGAGTCCCGACTAAACGCAATCCACCTGGAGTAGGAAATGGCAATGCCACTCCAGTATCTTTGGAAGGCTAAAAGATTTGACGCTGGAAGATCGGCCCCTCAGGTCGAAAGGCGTCCAACGTGCTACTGAGGAAGAGCGGAGGATAAGTACAAGTAGCTCCAGAGCTAATGAAGTGGTTGGGCCAAAGCCGAAAGGACACTCAGCTGTGGACATGCCTGGAAGTGAAAGGAAAGTCCAATGCTGCAAAGAAAAATACTGCATAGGAACCTGGAATGTAAGATCTATGAACCTTGGGAAGCTGGAGGTGATCAAACAGGAGATGGCAAGAATAAACATCAACATCCTGGGCATCAGTG